CTGCGACTGCTGATTGAAAGATGCATTTCCTCAATCCGAAAAAATATATGGTCAATAACTTATACATTTATAACTTTAACTTTTGTATACATGTATATTATTAGTTGCATTTAACATATTCTTTATTTTATCGAATTTTCAATTTCAAAAATTCAAAATTTGCAGATATTTTGATTGAACAACTTTTGCGAGCTCATATTCTCTGTGGGAATGTTTCGCAAAAATGCAACAGGCAATTACACATTTTTCAAGCGAGGCAGCTTCAATTTGGCTTGGGAGCAAGGACGGACGGCTCATTGTTAAGCAAATTGTAATAACCTGCTGTTACATTTTTAACAAGCAGCAACAATCACTTCAATTTCGGGACAGAAGCTGAAGCCTGAAATTCAAATGCAATTTTTCCTAATACACTTTGGCTTATTGAATTTGTGATTAGGCAAATAAACTCAATAGAATTACAAGTGACATACAAGTTAAGAGTTTATTGTGATCAAGTGGTCGACACCTGCAAAGTTGACGATTCCTGCTCTACTTCATCGCCCCCAGCAAACACACACATACACACACGCAAAGCATAGGCGTGTGTGTAAAGTAAATATTCATAAGCATTATTTAAGGTTGAAAGCATTAGCAGCGTTGAAAGAAAAAGTTCAGTTGCCAATTTGAGGCAACTGTTGGCCAAAGTGTCAAGTACAACAAAACGCGATGAAGAAGAAAAATTCCAAAATAAAATCAACTACATGCATACATATATGGTGTATAGTACATACATATATGTGTACATATATGACAATATAATAAATTTTCAGAGCAGAAATTGATGCTGCCAGGCGCAAAGATTGTTGTTCTTGTTCTTGTTGTTGGTGCTTGTGCGTTACTGCTGTTGCTGTTGTAGTTATTGCCGCTGCTCTTGTCGCCATTGTCGCCATTGTTGGCGTTTATGTTCTCATAACAAATTCATAAATTCGATTTATTTTTCAATCAAAATGAATGTGTCGCACTCTGTATTGTTGTTGCCTATTTTGCTGCTGTTCTTCTCATCCAGGCAATGTTTGAAATAAAACTCAAGTATGCAGCTATATTTATAATAAATAAATTAAATAAGTGCACATGACTGAAGGAAAAGTTACAAAATCGCTGGCTCAAGCCAGGTAAAACTAATTAAAATTTAGAAATTAGAAAAAATGTTGGCAACTCCGAAGCTGAAATACTCTTTACAAACAATACTTTTGATTAGTCTCCGCTCGTAATATTTTATCGATTGTTTCTAATTTGAGCCAAGTTTTTCAGTGCTGTTTCGATGACAAATTCTCTTGAATTAAATTTGTAGTTTTATTATTTAAATGTGACACATAGAAGTGCTTTAAAAATAATACTTTTACAATTCATGTAACATGTATTTATGTCGTATGTCTTTGCATAAATTTGTTAAAAGACCAAAGAATAAGTTGATGATTAAATTCAAAACTGATAGAGGGAATAATCGCTGTTCTAATTCTATTCCGATTATTCATTAGTATCTTTTAGGTGAACGGGTCATACCCAATTGTGGAGAGTATAAAATCAAGCGACCGCGGCAGCTCAAAGGTGAACACAGCCCGAAAATATGCACACCATGGGCAACGGCAACGGCAGCAGCAGCAGCATAAAAATCTACATAGCCTCACATAAATTATGCGTTAAAACAACAGCGCGCAGTGTTTTATCTTGTCTATCAAGAGTGTTTAGCAAGTTTTGAAGCTGTGGAGCCATTATGCAAATATGCATACGGCCAGGCCAGCAGACAAGCCGGTGAGGAGTTCCTGTGTAGACCGTGGTCGCAGCACTCGATCCGCAAGCTCAACGGGTGGCAGTCAGAGTTAGGGGAACGGAATTGGCAGTGGGAATTGTAGTGGGAGCGGAGAGACTCAGAAAATGCCAAGGTGCTTCTGGTTGTGGAAATATATACGTGCTTATGGAAATACATATTTTACGAGTATATTTTCTTTTATTTCCGAGCTCTCACATAATTCTAAAATGCATTTCCGCCACAAGCTACACAACAGAAATTGCTTTATGAAACCCAATTTTCTATCAAACATATCAGGTCGCTATGTGAAGCTGAGACTCACCGAAAATGTTCTGACCGAGTAAGGCCAACATTCAGGATAAACAGTTGCCGAGCGACACCCGAAAAAGCAGGAGGCATAACAGCGCCAGCGAGAGCTCTGTTAATGTCTGTTAATGTTGTTGCAGCACATTCTGCTGTTCGTAACAGTCAGACAACAGCAAGTTTCCAGAAATGAACGCCATAAGGGACAATATTCAACCCCCCCTTCCAATAACAGTTCCAGCAACTGGTCACGATAACAGCTGCTAGTCACTGTTAGCTGGCGGCTAAGAGCTCTGTACCTTGCCTGTAGAGATATAGAATATATACTATATATAAAATATATACAGTTGCACTAAACTCAATATATACACGTCGATTCAAAAAAGGAAGCGCTGGATAGGAACTTAAATTTGTAGAATCAACGTAGATGATTTATAAAATAAATATGAAAAGAATAAATAATATCAATCTATCTATGCAAGGGCGTAGGTCATATGCATAAATTATTTTTTATTTAATCAAAATTTTAAGTTTTTGGCCCCCCTTTGGTAAAAGCTGCCTACGCCCATGTATATACTTAAATAAAATAAAAACTGGTTAGCTAAAATATTTGTAATGATTTGTTGGTTTTGTCTTCATTTGATGATATGTCGAGCATGGATTGACTGATTTCAACAAATAGTTATTTTTGTTCGTCTCGGAAGAAAGAAATTATATCTCGGGAAGACAACAACATCTCTGATACAGAACAGACAGATTCCACAAATTCTTAATAAGTTAATAAGTTAGCACATTATTTATGGATTCAGAGGCGATACGAAGCTGCTGACAATACTGATACTAGTATTTACACTACAATTATTTCGATATACTCGTAGGTACCACCCTGGATGCTTATCGCTGTGGTTATCTGTGTTTCCTTTAAAATTCAAGTTGAAAAATACATTTGTTTTCTGGCAAATTGTGTTTAAATTAAAGCTAGGTTGCTCAAAAACTTTAATATAAAAGTCTTGTAAAACTTGTATAGTTGCTCGTCATTTAAAAGGTTTGACTTGTAAGATTTATTAGGTGAATAAAAATAGTTTAAAAAAAGCAGGCTTTGGCATCTGCACTTCCGATTAATTATTCAGATTTAATCTGTTTTACGAATTTAATTAAAGAGAGAATTAAATTAAAGAGAATTACTTAATTTCAAATATCGGTGTGGAGCTCTAGTTAATTGTTCGGACAGTACTTATTTCACTGATCGCCAGTGTGCTTGAGCCTTCATTGCAGCTGGTCAGTAACAGAAGACGACGCGTCGGCGACGCTGCATAATACAAAATAAAATCAACAATTTTTCTTCACTTTGCGCACGGTAATTATGCAAAATGTCAACAAGCGTTGGTGGTGGCATTGTTTCTATAATTGTTGTTGCTGTTGCTATTCTTGGCGCTGCCGCTGCTGCTGCTGGTGCTGGTGCTGGTTTTACTGTTTTTGTTATTGCTGGTTAAGCAGCGTGCTACCTTGGCTAGGGTTGACTTGGCTAGATGGCTACTGTTGGTTTTTAATTTCCAACGCCAAGGCAAAGCTCAAAAGGATATACGAGTGCGTACTCATAGTTGCATTTTGCAGCATTTGTTGCATTTGTGGCGTTTTTACAGTTTAGCATTTTGCTTTTTGCATTTTCGCCGCCCACGTTGACATCAGTAATTAACACAAGACAAAAGGCAGAGCCGTCCTCCAGCTGAAGTGTTGCGCTCTTTGCCGGCCTTTTGCACTTTGCAGTGATTAAAGTAAATTCACTTCAACGGCTTGAGTGTGTTTGCCAGACCTCAGACGCAGGTAAAGCAAACAAAATAGCGTTGCGGTTGCATCATTGTTGGGCAGCGGGAAGTGGAGGCCACAGAAAGGCAGTGGCCATGCTGTTCACACTAAATTACATCTGCACAGTGAGCTGTCCTTGTTGTTTACCTCTACACAGATATTGTACAAGTAGTATGTTCTAGTGTGTGTACTTGTATATGCATTTTCAAGGTGCTTCCATAGTTGCCCTTGTTGCGGTTCTTCTTGATGTTGTTGTAGTTGTCGTTGGCGTTGTCGTTGTTGGTTTTCATACTGTGCTTGTCATTTCCGCTCGGTGCTCTGACTGAAGCAAATTCATATGCGCAGCCCAAAAGTGTGCAACAAACAGCTAAGCATAAACGCGAAGCACGTTGCACTCGACTTCGGTCATGCATCAGCATCAGCATCAGTGTCAATATTGGCAGACAGTTGCTTATGTCACTTGCCAGCTTGAGGGCGATATGAGCGTTCAATGGTTGCCAAACATGTGCACTAATATGGCCATTTAGTGAAGAAGCAATAGGAACGGTTATTGATGTTTACGACCAGTCCAAAGAGGTAGAATGCTGAGTGGGAAAGTGATTGAAATGAGAACTTCTACATGTAAAATGTTTTAGAAATTCTATGTGTATTCTATATGTATACATAGATGGTTATTGCGTGGCCGAAATTCAAACAGGTATATACAAGTACTAGAGGGAGCCTGGCTCGTTTGGTTTTACAAAATTTCATTCAAGTGGCAGTTTATTTCTTAACAACACATAAATCATCAAATAAAATTGTAACTTAAATCTTTGCCGCCGATGCTACATACACATATATAACCTCGAATTCTAATCATGATCCAGGAATAATTGCTTTCCTTTAAAGTGCCACTGCGATTAAAATTCGTCTCATTATGCTAATCATTTAGCTACCTTCTGCTCTACCCTCATATATTTACTTTTTATGTACATCCATTGAGCTAATTTCTAGAAACGCTATATAGCAACTATTTGTTACAAAATTAGCAAACCTTTTAACTCTTCAAGTATGACAGTTCAATGTGCTTCTAGCTTCCTTTTACAAATAAAATACATCGATCAATATCATATTTTACCCCAACAGACATTTTATTTCAAATCATGCTTGATACTATTAAGTGATTAAAAAAGCAGCCAAATACACAACAATAGGCAAATGGAAGCCAGTCTTGAATGTCAAGCTCCTAGTTGCTTGTACAATATCGGCACGTAATCATCGTATTCGGCTTGGAAGAAATTGCCAGCAATGGGGTCGCACAAATTGTATTTCTTGGCGAACTCGGCGATCTTGAAGCCGCCGCGACCATCGCCGCTGTTGTTGGGCAATCGTTTCTCGTCGAAGTTGACCTTGCACTTCTGCTCGTACACCAGGAAGATGTAGCGGTGCAGGCCGGTGTCCTTTGGCGGACCAGAACCAATATACGCCGATAGCTCGTCACCCTTCACGATGGCATTGCCCGGAATGTTGCCAACGAGCCAATGATGCCATTCACGAAATTTGGGATCCTTGCGGCTGGGTGCGTCCGGATCCGTCATGCACAGCGTATAGAAAAGTTTGGCGTCTGCTTTCCATTTGACACACGGCGGGTCCTTCACCTGAGTGGGGGTCAAAACCATACCCGGTCTTACCGAGATTCCGCAAGCATATTCCACGCACGCGCTTTCCTTGGGCGCTTTGGGGATGACATCTGGCACAACGCAGTGTTCTTCCATGTCGCCTGCAATAGTGCTGGATGAATAATGGCGTAGTGTTGCTCTTGACTGTAGGGGTGGACTGCAAGCTCCACAGCATATCTTTGTTGATTTTATCGCTATCGCATTATATTTGGCAGCTGTCAATGGAACTACCGGCTTGATTATGATATTAAATGTGGGAATCAAGAACGGCAATCTTAGCACGTTGTGTCCGAATCTCATGCGCAATAGACTCATGTTCTGGCAAGCTCTTGCGATCTGAAAGAAATGGATATAATTTTGAACGGCTTCTGTTGTGGGAACTCTATCATTCGCAGTACTCAGTTATTTGGCGCTATCGTACTTTTTTGTTTGGAAACAATTTTAGATGGCACGAGAATAATTTGAATTTAAAGTTATTCTAAAATATTTGAACCGTTTATGAAAAAAATAAAATGAACACCTACTATGTGCACAACAAAAAATATGTTATTATTGAAGCTGAAGTCATAATAAATCACAATAAGTTTCATTCTACATTTTCCCTGTTTTTTATGTGTTTTATAATTTGTCTTTAATTAATTTTCCTTTTTTTTTTAAATATTATTCAATTTAATTTGAATGGTAAAATAAATGTAGAATATTATGTAAAAATGTAAGAACTAGAGTAACCAATCTTGATAACTGTGTTCCCCTAAGTCAAAGAAAGGACAAGTCTGCATGTTTTTCTTGATGCCCCATCCTTCCCTGCTTTTCATATTTTTTATAATTCGTTGACAAGTTGACCCAATTACAAAATCCACGCATACTTTTCGCTACTTATTAAAAAATGCAATCAAACTATATTTACTTTCTTTTGCGAGTGGGAACAGGGTTTTTATTCCAATCTTGTTGTTTATTTATTGTATTGCTAACAATAGACTGCCATTTGTTTGGAAATATATAGTAACATTTTTCTGTATTGTACCTACTTTTGCAGTTGGAAGAGGTTGATTACATTTAAGAAACATTGTGTTTTAAAACTTACTTCACAATCAAACTTCTATGAAATTCCGCTTTATTTTTCCAAATGGTTGCTTCATAAACTTATTCAAATTTGCTTCTACTTGCAACAAATGAATGGCTAGATGGCATGGTTACATTATTTTATTTCAAAACACCTAATTCGTATAAATGCGCGTTCACAAATCCAAAAATGTAGGTTAAACTATCAAGCATCAACTTTTCACCCGACTTCATTCACAGTTTCCAAGTCACATAAATTCAAGTTTATGATTTCCTTCTACATACGTTTAAGGGTATATAATTCATATACACATACATACATACTAACAAATAAGTGGGCGCTTTTGTGTTTGTATTTCTCTGTCGTCACTTTACAGATTATGTGTGTGTTGAAATGAAAGTAGGAAGGAATTATTTCATATATCAAAGGACAAACAAATGCATTTGACATTTTTACGTCTTAAAACTTTTATTGGTTTTATGTGTTTGTAAATTTTTGGGGCTGTCAGTTTGTATGTCAACAGCATTTCAGCCACCCCAGTGGTTGCCAAAAATGGTTGCCAAATCATGCGGGGTTGTATACTACTTGTGTACATACATACATATATATTGTGGGTCCCTTACAGTAGAACGTTTCTTAATAGCAAGCGAATGGGATACTTTTTGCTTTATTTTTCTTTTAGGTTATTTAATATCTTCAAAGCTCAAGCGATTTGTTTTATTTTTAATTACACCTGTGTGCGTGGGTTAGTGTGTGGGTGAGTGTGTGTGTGAGTCTGTGGGTGAGTGTGTGGGTGCGAAATTCTATACCGCTTCAAGCAAACTCTACCAAATCCAAATTGTGCGTCAAAAATTGCAGGTCTACATATATGTACATATATTTTATTACCGTCAAATTTTTATGATATGCAGGACACGGAAAGTTAGCTCTACGCAGGGTGGCTGGATAGAAAAGAAAGAGTCCAGGTAGAGAGAGAGAGAGAGAGAGAGAAATTTTGCGCAATGTGCGTGAATTTGTATGTAAATTTTAGATTTTGTTCTCTGTGCTTTAAAGTTGAAGCGCTCTTGGCGACAACAAATTTAAATAGAACAAAGCATGGTAAGACAATGAAATTGAAATAGAGAGAGGTACGCACGGCAAGCAGCATAATGCATATTTGATGGCCGCTTTTGGTTTGGCAAATTGCCTGCGTCAGAGTGCCAGAGTTTTTAAGTTGAGCGGCTTAGGTGACTGGCGACTAAGTCATGCGTAAGCACATTACGCATACGTCTCGTTACCTATGCGACAATAACCAGTAACAGTAACTAACAACAACAAGGGTGGCATTTTAAGAGCCCTGCAATGCTCGCACATGTGCTCGTTCTTAGAGCACACTTGCTCGCTCGTCTAGCAACAATGTATGGAACTTTTTAATGGATTTTCATTAAGTTGAAAGAATGGAAAGCTCTTAAGAAGTTCATTACTGCGATAGCATTGGCAATGGCAGCCAAAATACGAGTTCGTAACTGAACCGGCCAAAAGTTTATTCGGCCATTTAGTGGTGCTGCCAAAACGCAAAGCTCATGGCCACCCCTTCCACAGCAGACACTAGCCAAATAGTCGGTAAGATGCTAAAGTTAAGAAATGACAGAGTTCCCAGACAAATACATGAAATGGGGCTGGTAAATGATAGAGATGAGCGTATGAAAACATTTACTGGAACGTCTGCTTTCCTTACTTGAAACCATAATTAATTACCAGCTTTAAGTTCAAAAATAAAATCAATTGATTACAACAATTCAAATTATCCTGAATTTTAAAAGACTTAGTATTCTCTTTCGGGAAATAAATTTTGTTTGTTATCCCAACCGTTCCATAAAATCAATAGCAATTTGTTTTTAGTCAGTCCATTGCAATATTGTAAATTGTAAATATTTTTATACAGCATCCATGGTGTTTATAATTTCTTAATAAATGACGATACATAATGATAGAAAGCAGTCATTCTTCAATAGTCTTGCGTTAGAGCGCAGCATTTTCCTGTCTGTTTCCTGGATTACAATGCCTTTAGAAATGCCATTCAATAGATGAAATAATGAAAGGATTAAGTTCAGAGTTCAGTTTTGAAAATAACTTTTTACTTGTCTGTTTAGACATATTTTTGACATTTTATACATATTTAATATTTATTTTAGTATGGAATTCTGTGCTTTGCAGCAAAATTATTCGCAATTTTATCCTATGCCGATGCTGTTGTCGTCAACCTCAAATGATAACAATTAATTCAAATATGTCAAGAGTTTTTGATGCAAGTTAAAATTGAAATCAAATACGCCTCTTATGTTTTGAATTTTGATTGTTTTTTGTAAAATTAGTTGATTTTTTCGGCAGATTCGATGTTCATTTCAGGCGTTCTAAAAATGTTGTATCAGCAAACGGCCGCACAGCTCTAATTGACACACACACACACAACTTGTATACGTATGTGTGAGTGCGAGTGTGTATATCTGTGGCGTTAGCTTGTGGCCAGCAGCATTTATCTATCATGTTTGTAATCACTTTTCATTGGATTTGTGGGTGCTGCGAATGCCATTCGCATAAAAGATTTTCGCACATGCTCGAAAATTTTCAAGTGTAGAAACTTTTTTAATTGGAAAACACATTTAAGTGGATTTCATGTTGTTGAAACACACGCACATATTGCACAAAGCCAGCAACCAACTTTTAATGCTGTTTATTTGGTTTAAGTATATGTGCGTCTCTGCGTATGTGAATGTGTAGGTGTGTAGGTGTGTGTATCTCTGAGCCACTATAAGTCTGCAGCAGTCGCTGTATATTTAAAGTTAGAGAGTAATGTGTGTTGGTGGTGGTGCTCTATAATAATATACATACGAAAAAGTTTCGTGTTGCCATTTGCTGCTTTGACTTTGAGCACGGCGCATAATGCAATAGCAATTATGAGCAGGCCAAAGGCAGCACGGCACATTTCCCAGTGCATTACTAACTCATAGTTTATGCGGCACATGCAGCGCCTCATTTCATTGGCCGTTGCAACAGCAGTTACTCATATTGCAGCTGCAACATGTTATATAAATGCCCGTCTCCACTCTGGAGATTGCTGCCAAAGTTGTAAACAACATTTTAATGTTTTTAATATTTCATAAGTTTGGAACTAGTTTATTTAGGTGCATGAGCTTCCCCGAGCATATTGTGGCATATAGCCAAGTCATGCAACATCATGCCAATGCCCGACTTTCACTTTGTATAGTTGCATGCTCGTAGGTCACTGCGTACCCGCTCCTTATGTACCTGAAAATGAACTTTCAACCGACTTTAACTTCAAGCAACATGTGCACATTTTTCACTTTTCTCGTTGCGGAGTCATTCCTTCAGTTTATGAACCAATTGATGCTAGAAACATTACATTGAGCGACCCATCTAATAATGCAAAGACACAAGGTAGAACTTAGTATTTCATGCAGGAACAGACAGCCTGACATTTTTTAATCTTATCATAACATTGCATACATATTTTAATTTTTTATTTGTGTGCGTTTTTTACTCATTTATAAATAATTTATAAATAATTTCTGAAAACTAACTTTTCAGCTGTACTTTTATTATTTTTAGTAACTTGTAACTTCAGAAATGGGTTGTCAACTCAGTCAAAATTTAACCTAAGTAATGTACTCCCATTAATAGAATTTCAGTCATCCTCTAAAATAGATTATCTTTCCGACTATATTACAGAATTAACCACAGATTGTTTTGTCCTAAAGCAAACCAGACTCAGTAATTATTAAGGTATTGTCGAGAGCGAAGTTCTTTATTTCATTGAAGTTAAATAAATATAAATTAATAATGTTGATTGTAAACACAAATTTTGGTTTTGATATAACATTTAGCATCAGTCCTTACTAGTATAGTGTGGTGGTTTCATTGATGCCTAAATATTTATGTTAAAATATATATTTTTATATTTGCTTTACTTATTCTAATGCCAATGAACATCTCTGATATTTTTGTTTTCTTATTTGCTCTTAGCTGATAATTATTTGAAGCCACTCGCCTTTTCTATGCTTCACATATAATTTACGATTTTAGAGCTTTTTCCATTTACTTAGAGTATATTTCTGAAGCACTTAACCGATTTACATACACCATTTTATGTTCACATATCTATACACATATTTTTTTTATATCTTTGGAAAAGTGCAAGTGTCTGTGCGAATTTAGATATATGTTGAACATGGGCATGTGCAGACATTTAACCACAAGCTTTATATGTGTGAGTATGTGCAGGTTACATATTCATTTTTTAGTTACGTCCAACGCTGGTGTGTAAAATATTTTTTATAAGCATATGCATGCGATGTGCATGTAAAGTGAGGCCAACTAGCCAGCTGCTTACACACACACACACACACAGACACCACATTTTATGGCAA